AGGAGAAGTGTTTTTTCTTAGGTTCTGCAGTTTACGGAGCACCAGATCGGCACTCAGGTCCACTTCGGAAAGTCCTGTACAGGTGCAGGTGAAGCTTTCGTCAGTATGGTTGATATGGGTCAGCTGGAATGTCCGGGAGTATTGTTCAGCCAAAAGGTTAGCGGCATCACTGTCGTTACTGGTCGGGCCATTAGGACGAAGCAGTTGGGAAACTCCAGTTTTGCCTTGTCGAAGAGAAGCTGAATAACTGAACAAGCTTTTCAAATTGGAGACGAATCTATCGATGAGCTTGGTCTGGAACTGAAGCCTGTCTTCTCTTATTGCCTTTGTGCATATGTTCCTTATATGTTTGCATTGCCTGTACGCGCCGTTGTTCTCAGTTCGTTTATATTCAGCCCAACAGTGCCTTTTGCGGCTTAGCAAACGACGAGTGCGGTTCTTGATGATTGGAGGTTGCTTGTAGCTTTTTGGGACCATTTTAGGAACTGAATGCTCAGTAGCACATAAGATCGTGTGCAGTAAAAAATCCCAATGAGCATCCACTTCAATTTGAGGGTGAACATCCCAATCCACCTGTTGTAGATAGTCCTGTAAAGCTAACACATTCAACCGTTTGAAGTTCCAGCCATTGTTGCTAGTAGGATATCGTAGCTCCGTTTTGCTGACAAAGCTGAATGATAAGACGGCGTGATCACTTTTCCCCAGGGGAGCCAGGATTGAGAGGTCGTCAACTAGGAATTCTTCATTTGTGAATACCCAGTCTAAGCGTGACGGCGTCTGACTGTTTCTCCAACGGGTTGCCGACTTCACATTTTCAAATAATCCCAGGTCGCCGATAAGGTTGAAGAACAGAGCTTCAGTAGAGTTGGCATCACCAATGTATGTATGTTCCACGAAGTTGATTCTAGGGAGATTGAAATCCCCTAGAATCAAGATATGAGAGAATCCGAGACGCGTAGAGCGAGTTAATCCTTCCAGCAGACGTTTGTCATACTCGATGTCGGCAGTGGGCTTCCTGTAAACGACCCCAACTAGGCACCTCGAGGTGGTAGATAATCTTACTGAGCACCATACTGACTCGTCAATATTATGAAACTCTTGGTTGTGAAGTTGGTGCGCATCCAGGCATGACCGTATGTATAGTTCTACCCCACCCTCCATTCCTGTTTTTCTGTCGTTGCGAAATAAAGACATCCCAGTTATTGCTAACTCTTGGTCCGTACACTGAGACGTTATCCAAGTTTCGGATATTCCTATCAGATGGGCATCATTAGCGTTGCTAAGTTCACGTAGCTCATCCATTTTGTTTGGCAAGCTCGCGGCGTTCGTGTATAGGCAGTTTATGCTTTCAATTTGAAACGCGTGAGCTTCTTGTTTGTCTATATGAGCCGTGTGTGAGTGGACAGATAGTCAACCTATACTATGTTTATCGAGTTGGTAGTCCCTGTCCTTTACACGTTTTTTTATGATCAAGACAGTCCACGAGTGGAATTGTCAGCTCCAACTTTCCCTTGTGCTTGATCCTGCTGTCATGGGGCCTATCCGGATGCATATGGATGCCGGTTGGCAACCGACGTCTATTGGCACGAGATGCTTCCAGAGTTGCAGCCGCCTTGTGGGAGGAGGGGAAGGTTATCTTCAGCAGCCGGGGCCTAGAGTCTCCGTCTCTCTTGGCCAGTCGCATTACCTGTTGGGTCAATATGTTCCTGAGTTTTAAGGAATGCTTGATGAATTTCCATTCCCGAATATCAGAGTTTGCTTGAGTTGGGTCCATATTTTCCGGCAGACCTTGCACAATGATATTTCGTCCACGGAAAAACGCCTCGCGAGATTCCTTAGGGATGTTCCGGATGAGATTTCGTTCAGAATACGGTATGTCGGGCAGTATTCTTACGTTCCCATCGGACTTCAGTAAGTGACTGGCTAGCAGGACGTCCTCTACGTCGGAGGCATTCTTAAGTGTAACACGAAGCAGCCTCGGGTGGTTTAGGTGGTTAGAGTCCTTCCCCCGAGTGAGCCGTGTTACCGTCAAAGGCTCTATTCTAGGGAGTTCAAGCCTCTTGTTTAATTCTCCTCAGAGCATCCTATCGTTTTTGTCCTGCAAACTGAGAGGAAGGTCGGGGTTGTCAATATGATTCATGATTATGACAGAGTGGTCACGAACCGTAATTGATTTTCCAGGTTTTCCAGGGCGTCTAGGTTTGGTATCTTGTTGTTTGTATGTCGAGGCGCGTTTTCGATTCCTGGGCTCAGTGATGACCGGGCGGACAGTCTTGGGTGTAGACTGTGCGGCCAAAGCATCAATTGATTTCCGCACGATACTTGGGACGTTCAGTTTCGGAGGGGACGCTTGGGCTTTATTACTCCTGTTAACGTGAGTCCATCCACCTACAGGATTTTTGGGAACCACTGTCTCATTCAAGGACCGTTCCCCGGGGTACCCAAGTTTACTGAGGGAGTCGATGACAGTCGATGTTAAGATGGTGCTGAGTTCCAGCACATCATCACTCGTGCTGTTAACAGCACCGTCGATAACCGACATGTCAGTATCCTTTTTCTTATTTGCCCTATGCGTTCCAGCTTTATTACCCGTCATGATGCTATCATTTACCGAATTCTTAGGAAACTTATCTCTCAGACCTGTCAGTAAAGTAATGATAGTACTCAACATAACTACCGTCTCGGTGTTGCAGGTAACACATACCCACCTACGATCAGACTTGCTGAGTCTGCTATAGGCTGCTGCTGTTAGATCTGTACATGCCTCATGGAACCAACCTTTACAGTTGTCACATTGCATGCCAGATGTAACGGCAAAACGGCAACCAGGTCTCTTGCATGAATTTTTCATGGCTAGTGATTTAGACTGTCTTAAAAGTACAAGCAGTACATTTGGGACCGTTAAAAAACACAGAGTAAACAAAAACTGGCAAAAATGTATAAAAACAATTAACGATAAGCTAAAGCTAGCCTTTACGTGAAAACTACGTTAAGGTAGACGTACCTTTTACCGTAAGTAGCGATCGGCTTTCCGTTTGCCGCCTGTAAACTTAAAACAGACTCGCGAAGTCTGTCGTCAGGATTTGCTGGAAGAACGCTAACTTCTGCGCAAGTGTCGACGAGGTAGCGAACTTTCGTAGTCACATCCGTGACATATAAGAGGCGGCTGTGTTCGCCGGCTACGGTTGCCGTTAACGCGTGCCGGCTGGGAAATTTCCCGAAATCTTATTCGGGTCAGTCGCTTTTTAGGTAGGATAATTGCAAGGTTTCTTGCAATTTCTGGAAAACTTACCGTACTGGTTATGATACCAGCACCAGTCAAGATTATCTGTCTCTCGTGGTCGAGAGACAGATCGCTTACGTGAAACGCTTCTACGCGGGGTCTTTAATCGACTACGGTCATTACGAACTCTAAGATATCGTGTAAGCGTGTGACATAGTTCGGTTATATCAGATGGGGTCGATTGGGGTTTTTCTTTGACGGAAAAGACCTCGGCGCTAGTGGATTTGGTGATTTCTAGGATTCGGTCGATAGATGCATCTAGCTCATCTATGGCGTTGTTTTGAAATGAAACAAGCACTGCCTGCACCTGATGAGGAAGTTTAGACAAGAAAAGTTGTCTGAATAGGCCATCATCGAAAGTTTGTTGGCCGATAACTTCTCTCATTCTTAGCAACATGTCTGTCGCAGAACCCTGATACAAGTCGATGTTATGAAAGAGTTAGTCTAACCGTTGTCGGTCGGTTAGGTCTCCACGTTTGAGAATCGAACATTTAAGAGTTTAGTAAGGTTCGGGAACATCACTAGTAAATATACTAGGTGTTACGTACCTGTTAAACTCGCGCGGTAACGCCATAACTACCGCGAGGAATCGTGTGGGCGAGTCCGTGATTCCGTGAATGCCAAAATCAGCTTCCTCGTAGCAGAACCAGGACTCGATATTGTCGGGACAAAATGGCGTTAACTGAATCGAAACAAGGGGAATAGACTTTAACTTAAAAACCCTTGGGTGAGTGTTCCGTCATAGTAATATAGACAACGAAAAATGTCTAATTAAAATATATCCTGGAAAAAAGTTCGCCAAAAAACAGTATATCACAATATAAAAAATTAAAATAAAGAATAACAATGAATAATAATATTCCAAAATGGAACAGACTTACAGTATATTGGCTTGGTGTAGCAGATCACGTCGGTCTCACCACTGAGGATACAACGGATATTCTAGTTTGGCAACTAGCAACCAGTAGTATCTTCTATAATCGTTCTTTCCCAGTCGAATAGAAACCAGAAGTCAGACGAGGAGAGGTAGGAAAGATATATTTGATACGTCACCAATATATCGAGGATCCTATACTATAAGCTGGCTAATGAACATAGGAGCTGTGTCCCACGCCGTGTTGAAACGTGATCTGGTACGGATGCATGACCGAAAGCCTTCAGTTAAACAAGTCCACTTAAACAACGTGGTCAGCATCCAATGTCGAACACTTAATGAGCTATTGAATTTGGGGAATTATTTACATCTACAGCAGCTACCCATGCCATTCCAGAACTCCGGGGTTTAATATAAAAAGAGCGGCTTAAAAAGCTGGATCTCTTTACTCTGTGGTATCGTAGACTAGGGGGAGACCTAATTTTGATGTACAGAATCCTGAGAAATAATTTTGAACCTAACTTATTCTCTCTTTTTCTTCTCACTAGATCAGGACATAACAGGCCAGTAGAACAGCCATTAACGAACAAAATACCCGTGGCTTACAGGTTTTCACACCGAGTCATCAATACTTGGAACCTGATGCCCGAAGCAGTGGTGTCCGCACTTTCAATTGACTCATTCAAGAGAACACTTGCCATTCACAGAAGCATACTAGAAAAGGAATAACATAAGCCGTAGGCCTTCTGTCCTTACTACACAAATCTAAATCTGAAATACGTGAATGTTATTTGGAGTCCATAGTTAGAAGTTAAATATCCAATCATTTAGGTCCAAACTAATGACAAGGATTTTTGTGGTTGGTTTGAAGCACATTCGAACAACTATTTTCGGATATCAGTTTGTCCTAATCTCACGCTTATGTTATTTCTGATTTTTATTGATTCCTTTTACCATCAAGTGTGTCAATGCTGCAAGTGTTACAAGTGGTGATGGAGTTGGGACTCTGAACCGCCATCTTTCGAAATGAAGCCTCAAGCCAGAGCTTTAGATCGCTCCTCCACTCCACCGTACGCGTTTCACATGTGTATAACATAAGTAAATAGTGTTTACTGGGATACAGGGAAGATCTAAAGTTTAACCACAGACTGTATTCAGTGAATACTCGATAAGAGAGGACATAACATGGCAGCACAACAGATTAAATTACACAGATACTGTGTAAAAGGAAGGCAATGTACGGAATAGCCTCATACATTATCCCACAAGTCCAATATACGTTAGGTTCGCTTATTTTGTCCCAACTCGTTTCCCTCTTCGACTAGCAATAAAAAGAATAGGTCCCCATTATTAGTACCATGCATAATAATTCTAATAGTTTTATCTGAATGACCATATAGGGCTGCTTTTGATCCCAACTAGCTCAGTGGCAGTAAAATAACTGCGTGAAATTTTTTAGGGTCAAAAGTGTTATAAACCAGCGAAATTTACTAAGTCTAGGTTTTACAAGTTGTTTTTCATACCACGAACTGATGTCAGTTATAATTTCAAGATGCTATTTAGTCATATCGTAACACGTGTTATCAACAGTCACAAAAGCGGAGATGATCTGAAACCACAACACGCAATGTTAATCAAGAACTTCACACCAAGAGAGAAAACGGAGTGGAAGCCACGAGTCATAACGTAATAGGCAGAATAGCTAAAGTAACTACTTATATGAAGTTGATGTTCATTTTGTTGTGCTAATGAGGTGTGGCAACTTGTACTGATGCATATGTGCCTGCTCCTACGTTGTAGCCGTTTGACTGACAACAACTGAACCAGACGGAAATCTCATGCGTCATGTGACCACTTAATGCACTATTCAGAAGTTTTTGGCCAGACTATATTGGCTCACATTCAGACGACAGACTCATAATGCTTTTCCCTAAAAATCCCATGCGAATTTTCCCATTTAGACACTTAAATGAAGAACTAAGATCAAACACTACATAAATCCACCCGATTCTAAACAAATATTTTCTTGTGTAGTGTATTAGTACCCATTTGTAAACTGGAAATAGAACTCAGTGATTAGGAACGGAAAGGAAACTACTTACTCACGCCTGTTACTCTCAATGAAGCACAGGCCGCCGACCAGCATTCTCCAACCCACTCTGTCCTGGGCCTTCTTTTCTAGTTCTATCCATTTTTTTGTTCATTCTTCTCATGTCTGTTTCTATTTCTCGGCGTAATGTGTTCTTTGGTCTTCCTCTTCTCCTTTGACCTTCAGGATTCCATGTGGGGGCTTGTCTTGTGACGCAATTGGGTGATTTCCTCAATGTGTGCGTTATCCACTTCCAGCCCTTCTTCCTCCGCCGAATTCTGGTTTGTTTTCTCCCACAGTAGGTTGTTGTTGATAGTGTCTGGCCAACGAATCCGAAGTATCTTGCGTAGACAACTGTTAATAAACACTTGTATCTTCTGAATGATGGCCTTCGTCCCGACCGTTGCTGCTACCTTGACGTGGTGGTCGGGCTTGCCTATCGTGATGATCCAATCGAGCTATGCTGGCTGGAACAATCGTTCCTCAAGGTCCTACCATGCCAGACAGGTCGGTTGAAGAGCGGTGAGACTAAAAGCAGCAATCCCAAGGTCCGAAGGCGAAGTCGTACTGCTGACTGTACAGAGGTGTGAAAGCAGTAAGGTGTTTCCTTCAGACAACCAGCATGACAGCGATGCTGCCTTCCCACAAGGAGGGGTGGGGTTAGAAAAGGTCGACCCTAAAAATGCACACCTCGCCTTATCCCACGGATTTCCGTCTCCGGCGGTAAGGACTTTTGAAGAACGGAGCTAACACATCAAAAATCCCCCACAAAAAGGCCGTGCGTGACCGGCCTCAAGCAGATGTCCCTTGGGCTCTGCGGTCACGCTCCCAGGTCGTTAAGACCAACACTAATCCAACTTCTTTTTCAGGTCCCTCAAGAAATACCCTTCCACGGTGTGGGCAGCCGGGAAGTGATACTAGCCCTCATACCCTTAACTGCACACAAGACCAAGTTGGTCGCTTTCAAATCCTTCCTACACCTAATAACTCTGTTATCTCCACGACTAACCCTTCCCACGTCCTTTTATCACCTCGCACCGCTAGGGCAAACGATTCGAGTAGACGGAACGTTATTCCTGGTCTCCTGAAACCACGCTCTAAACTACATATAGGAACTTTTAATGTCCGAACATTGTGCCAAATAGGACAACAGGCTTCCTTAGCTAGGACTCTAGAATCTTACACCATCGATGTGTGCTGCGTCTCCGAAACGCGCATACAAGATCCGAGTAGTGTCATTCATTTGACCGCACCTAATCAAAATAAAGTTTCATCTCGATACACGCTTCGTGTATCTGGAAGCCCTGATGCTGCTTCCCGTGGCCTCGCTGGAGTAGGTATAGCATTAAGTCGTAGGGCAGAACTAACTCTTTTAGACTGGATCCCAGTAGACAGTCGTCTATGCGCTGTCCGACTAAACGGATCAGTAAGGACCCGGAAAGATAGGGAAACTCGTCGTTGCCTCTTCGTCGTCTCTGCCTACTCTCCCACTGACCGCAGCTCAGACGATATAAAAGATGAGTTCTACAGGAAACTTTCTGACCTTCTCCGAGAAGCTAGGCGTTCTGATGTAGTAATAGTAGCAGGTGACTTTAATGCTCAAGTAGGTAAACTAAGTGAAAGGGAAGGACACCTGGGTGGATCTTATGGTGTCATGGCGAAAAGAACAGATAATGGCGACCGTCTGTTGCAGCTATGCTCAGATAACCGCCTATTTCTTGCAAATACTAACTTTAAGCATAAGGAAAAACATCTTTTGACATGGCGACCCCCGAATTCGTCCCAACGTTGGACCCAATTAGATCACATCGCTATCAGCCACCGATGGAGGGGCTCGATAGAAGACTGTCGCTCATTCTGGAGCACATGTTTAGATTCAGATCATGCTCTAGTGCGAGCACGTATCTGTCTGCGTCTTACTGGTCGTAGGAAAGACACTGCAGGGAAGCCTCTAAGGGTTCTACTTAATGATAGGCAATCTAAGAATATATTTCAGGAACAACTAGGAAAACAGTTAGGCAGCCATGTAAGTTGTGTCCACCCCGAGGCAGCGTGGAATGACATCCGAAAAGCTGTGGAAACAGCAGTGATATCTGCTAGTAAGGTAAACCATAACGTTAGGGAGAAACAATGGATCTCGGCAGCATCTACCGCACTGATAGATGCTCGTAAACTCATCCCACCTGGCTCTGAGCATAACGAAGAGCGGAGTCAACTTAAGCGCAGGCTTATAAGAAGCCTACGTAATGATCGTGAACAGTGGTGGGTAGCGAAAGCAAGAGAGATGGAAAAGGCAGCGGCAATAGGTAGCAGTAGGCAGCTATTCAGACTCGTTAAAGAAACCGGTATTAGGAACCCGAATATCAGTGAAACCATCTCAGATAAAGATGGGCATATTATTCATTCTCAATCCAGGAGATTGGATCGATGGGCAGAACACTTTAGGGATCAGTTCAACTGGCCTTCAGCCACACTTCAATTACCCACGATCCCCAGTCGTCCTGAATGGCAAATTGATGTAAGTCCTCCAACCCTCTGTGAGGTTGAAAAAGCTATAGGAAATCTGAAGCGAGGGAGAGCAGCAGGCCCTGACAGGTTGACCCCTGAGATTTTTAAGGATGGTGGTCCAGTACTAGCAGTGAGATTGACTGAGGTCTTAGGTAGAATCTGGGAACTGGACGTAATTCCATCTGACTGGTCCCAATCACTGATTGTGTCAGTCTATAAGAAAGGACAAAAGTCCTCTTGTGACAATCACAGAGGGATCAGTTTGACTAATATAGTGTCTAATATATTAGCTTCAATAATACTAGGTCGCCTAACCAAAGCTCGTGACGAGCAGACTAGAGAAAACCAGGCTGGTTTTCGACCTGGACGTGGTTGCATAGACCAGATATTCACCCTACGTCAGGTTCTAGAACATAGACACAAATTCAGACGTCCCACAATAGTAGTATTTCTTGACCTTAAGGCGGCATTTGACTCTGTTGATCGTGAGGTTCTATGGCAATGTTTGTCACTGAAAGGAGTACCAAAGAAGTACATTAACCTCATAAAGGCTCTCTACTCGAGCACAACTGGTCGAGTTAGAGCCTATGGCGAACTGTCATCAGAACTGATTACCACAAGTGGCGTTCGTCAGGGCTGACCACTCACCCATTCTTGTTTAACTTTGTCATTGACATACTTTTAGAGATAGCACTTTCATCAGCTAAACCTCCAGGAGTTGAACTTTTACCAGGAGGCTCACTTGTTGACTTAGAATACGCCGACGACATAGTTTTACTCGGTGAAGACGCTGACAACATGCAGAGTTTTCTGACAACTATAAGCAACTATGCAGGCATGTTCTGAATGCGATTCTCTCCCTCGAAGTGCAAAATGTTACTTCAGGATTGGGTTGCAGCGACACCTGAACTAATGATAGGGAGTGAAGTAGTTGAGCGTGTAGACCACTTCACTTATCTTGGGAGTCTCATCAGCCCTTGTGGTCTGGTATGTGACGAAATCTCAGCACGGATACAGAAGGCTCGTCTAGCTTTCGCCAACTTGCGTCATTTATGGCATAGGCGAGATATCCGTCTAGCAACCAAAGGACGGGTTTACTGTGCAGCAGTTCGCTCCGTCCTACTTTATGGCAGTGAAACATGGCCAATAAGAGTATAGGATATTCGTAGTCTACTAGTGTTTGATCATAGGTGTCTTCGAAGCATTGCTCGTATATCCTGGGACCACCGGGTAAGTAATGCAGTTGTTAGGAAACGAGTACTAGGTAGGGATGGCAAATCGATTGATGAAGTAGTGAAACTTCATCAGTTGAGATGGCTGGGACATGTGTTACGTATGCCCGACCACCGACTGCCCCGACGTGCAATGTTTCATGGTGTAGGAGTAGGTTGGAAGAAAGCTAGGGGTGGCCAGACCAAAACATGGCACAAATCAATGAAGTCACTGACAAGTGGACTGGGCCATGTTGGTAGGTGTAGACTACCTGGTTGGGATTCGCGAGATGACAGCAACCGATGGTTAGAGACCTTGAATGACATGGCTGAAAATCGTTTGCAATGGCGAAGATGCATCCACTCTTTGTGTTCCACCAAATTCTAATCTTCTGAATTCCTCATGTCTTTATGTTTTTCTCTTTCCAAATTTATTTCACTGTACTATACTCCTTCAATAATTTCTTCAAACCCTAATCTTTTGGATTTCTGATTATACTCCTACTACTTCCACCACTATGGGATTTGAATCGACAACTGCATCTCTGTGCTAATGTGGTATGGCAACTCGAGCTGATGTACGTACGTACGAAGTTCTACGTTGTGACTGACTGACTGACTGATGGCCTTCGTAGTTCTCCAGGTTTCCGCCCCATAAAGTAGAACTGTTTTGACATTTGTATTGAAAATTCTAACCTTGGTGTTGGTTGATAATTGTTTTGAGTTCCAGATGTTCTTCGATTGTAGATATGTTGCTCATTATTCCGAAGAAAGGCCGTATTAAACTTTTGTGATGTTGTCCGCCCAGTTGTCCAATGCGTTTTGAGTTTTTATTTCATCTTGGCAACCAGTAAGTGATGATCTGATGTTACATCAGCTCCTCTCCCGGTTCTCACATCCTCCATTGTCCTCTTGAACTTTTTGTTGATGCAGATATGGTCAATTTGGTTCTGTGTAGTGTGATCCGGTGAAATCCGATTGACTTTGTGTATGTTTTTGTGTGGGAATATGGTGCCACCTATGACCAGTTTATTAAAGGCAAATAGGTTTGCAATATCTCACCATTTTCGTTCCTTTCTCCCAGTCGATGTTGTCTCATGACGTCTTCGTATCCAGTGTTGTCCTTTCCAACCTTGGCATTTAAATCTCTCATCAGCATGGTCAGGTCCTTTGTTGGGCACCTCTCGAAGATCGACTGCAGCCTACCGTAGAATTGGTCTTCAGCGTCTTCATCGTAGTCATTGGTAGGCGCATAGCATTGGATGACATTCATTGTAATGCCCTCTTTCCTTGTTTTGAAGGAGGCTTTGATGATCCTTGGTTCATGAGATTTTTATCTTATAAGTGTATTTTGTGCTTGTTGGGACAGCATCAATGCAACTCCTTGTGTATGTGTAGCATTTTCTTTTTAATGGCCGGAGTATAACAAAAGCTCTCTTGAAGCTAGTCGTTGTTGTCCAATCTGCGTCCAGTATGTTACACTGATCCCAAGCACCTCCAGGTCGTATTTCCTCATTTCTGCAGCAATTTGGAAGACTTCCGGTCTCCCACATTGTCCGATCGTTCCATGTACTTATAAAAATTGTTGCTCTGGTTGTTAGAAGGGGCATCGGCCTCATGACTTCCAAAGGAACTCAGCTCTTATCGTGAGGCGTTATAATTATTCCTTCAACTCCCATGGCAAAGTTTAAGTTGTTTGAATAGTATTTTCTGGTTAGTGTTTTTTCAGCGAGTTGGTTTTCTACAGGATGGGGTCGCTAACCCCATGCCAAAACCTCCTCCTTTATCCGGGCTTGGGACCGTCAGTAGCCCCCGGAGGGGCTACAGGTGGAGTTGGAAAGGGGAATAGACCCCCCTCAATTTCCTTAAATCCACATCATCTTGACCGCCTTATAATACCAAAATTGATTATAAGGTTGCTTTTGGAATATTTGTCAAGGTATTGTTACCAAGCTCGTAAATCATACATTGAGGATTACTCTTACTTGTTCGTTATAGTTCACTAAAGTTCTTACAGCTGTAAGTAATCGATGTACTATATTTTAAATGCCTACTATCTTTAGCTTGCAATCATGCTTTTGTTTAATACCACTTCGGATCCCATAGTTAATCAGGAAAAGTAAGTGGAATAATAATGTCCTCATGCCAAGTCCTCTCACAGTCATTCTATCCCACATTTCTCTGCCTTTACAAAGAGGACGAACAGTCAAGTTGAATATACCTCTTCTGTGCAATTATTAAAAACATTGAAGCAATTCTTAAGTGAAACAAGTTATTGTAATACTAGAAATATTAGAGAATCACCTGTTCACTACAAGCTGTTAAACTTTCAGTATTCCGTTAATGAATTAGCGCACATCTACTGTTCCATCTTATCCAATGATTCGCTCCTATGGCTGTCTCTGTTATCTAAACAAGTTTCATCTGTCATCATTGTGGAAAATAATTTGTTTGAAAATTTTTTATGTAGATGAATCATTCCTGCTGGATTCTTGACAGCTAATAGGAAGAATAAATCTTGACACGAATTACAAAATAAACAGTCAGGATATGGCCATTGTGCGGAATTTACAGACTAACGAAACCCCGAATATTCATTATCTCCCTTCTAACCTTTATTCCTTATGTTGATCAAAAAACTATTAAGATTACCACCAATTACGAATACCGTTTTTGCGAAAAGTAAGCGCATTTACTTAAATTAGAACAGTAACTAATTATCTTCAGTGTTTGTAAGTTTTCAGTCTATCAAGTCGAATAATTCGAAAAATAAACTGCCTATAACTGTTCCTTAGTGTTTAACAAATTTATGGACAGTTTAAATACATTTATTCCCGAATAAATTTAGTTCTGTTGAAAACCTAACAACAACTACAAATACATTTCTTCATCTATAGTAAAATTTTGGAATTTGTTTGACGTCGGGAAAGCAATGTGTGTAGCATAGACATAAACATCTGTTTTGAAACACTGTAACAGTAAGATATGTAAATACCTTTCGTTGATTACTACATAACCTTATTTTACTCGTGATAAGTTTGTATAATGCTCTTTGAAGGTTGACAAAACTTATTATGAGATATTAGTAAAGGGTTTTTATTAATCCGACTGACTGTTGGCTTTTTGTATGCATATTTAAAATTATTTGTATCTTGAGAAGTTGTTTACCGTTTTTCTTCGCACTACCATGTTAATATAAGATAATCAGATGTACAAAAATAGACTAGTAACATTTTTTTCAACAAATATTTTACAAGAGCTCCATTTTATAGTGTTTTATTTGGAAATCACAATAATGTTACCCCTATGTTGCTTTTTTCCACAGAAAGCAGGACAACTCAAACATTGATTCACGTCTCATTTTCCAACTTGCCAGTATTTCCCAAACATAAAGAAGAATCAGAGTAACCGTGTGTTAATTTCAACCATTCAATGAAAGTTCCGTGAGTAGAAACATACATGTGCAAAACGTCGGACAACGAAAGGGCAAAAAAGTTGGATTATGCAACACCTATTAAAGCTGCACGCAAATACGAAAAGAGTCAGGATAAGAAACCTCATTTAACAGGGGACCGGTGTAGTGGTGCTTTACTTCAGTCACCATCGTCATCTCACTCCTTTCCTGATATAGATAATGTCCAACTTACAATACTATCTCGTAATACTAAACATTTGAAACAGATTAACAGGACAAAAGCCAGTAATGCCGTTCCCGAAACATTGAAAGAAAATAATAAATCCACACAAGTCATCCGTGCAAAGACCTCGACTAGGGAATTATCTCACATCAGCATTGCAAATAAATGCATTACTCCTAGGAGTGCTGGGAATAGGAAATCAAAGAAAGTCTCTAATAATAATTTGAAAATCTCGAGGCCATCCTTCCAGTTCAACGCCCCATTTATAAGAGAATTGGGAGAATTTATAATTACGGATGATGAGTTGAAAGTCACAACCCCGTTACAACGTCAGAAATCTCTTTCTGAAAAGCATATTGAAAGGATAGGTAAACCACTTGAAGTGATTAGAAATAAGCGACCTACTCCTCTTAAACGCTGTATTTTGAATGAGCGCGCTATCCGCAAGGCTCAGCGAAGTCGGTCACTTCCAGCCCCTGTAGAAATTACTTTTGCGACCGCTGAATCTCCTAGTGTGACGAAAACCACAGAGGTAACTGACCTATTCAATAGTTTTAGTTTTGTAGTTCCGTACTCCTGATAGCTTTAATAGTTCACTAAAAGAACCCAATTCTTCATCGGAAATCGAAAACTATCTTGTGAGTGAGTTGATTTCACGATTGGTTGCATTCCAAGACAGAGCATATGTAACTCATGCTAATAGCCCCTTTCATCTCAAACGAACAAAGCGTCTTGTTTGTGGTTTTCATGAAGTAATCAAACACTTAAAGTTAAAACACATGCGAATCGTCTTCGTGGCTCGCGATCTTGAAGGCAATGCTACCAGCTATTTATGTCACGATAAAAGTGAGTATTAGTAATTATTTAGTAATACTCTCCAGTCTCTAGTTGTATATATCCATTGCTTTAGTTGAAAACTCAATCGCTTTTAAGACCAATGATGCCAGAGAAGGCAAGTTGAATACTGAGGCTTGCCGTGGTCATCTAAGTAGTTTCATGTCTGTACTTTCAAAAAGTTACTGCTAGGTCGTCTGGGTTTTAGTATATATATATAATCTTTTGAATTCTGCATGTCCCCTTCTTTTTTCTTTTTCCAAATTTTTTTTCACTGGATTATACTCCTTGAATAACATCTTTAAACCCTAATCTTTCCGATTACTGCTTATACTCTTACTACCTCTACCATTATGGGATTTGAATCGACAACTGTATCTCTGTGCTAATGTGGTATAGCAACTCGAACTGATCTACGTATGTACGAAGTTCTACGTTGTGACTGACTGACTGGGTACACAAATGAGAACTCGGTACTTCTAGTTCCCTTCAAACCTAAATTTTTCAAGCCAAGACCAGTAAATAATTATCTTGCTATTGCAGCTGAATATGGTCTCCGATTATGATAGTTTCACGATCACAGCTACCCAAGACAAGTTGCTCTCTGGATATTTCTTCTCTAATTACTTGTCGTTAATCTTCGCATTTAAGTTCTCATTATATATTCTATATACCTTTCTAGGTTAGAACAATTTATTTGGTGGTGAAATGTTATTTTCACATCAAGTTTGTGTTGAAAGATTTCTGATCTCTTTGACACCTTGATGTTAGTTTGACTTTAAAAAGTTGGAATCATGTCACATCGTGAGACCAACACTGCTCTATGTCAGCGAAATCTTGAGTACACGGGTAAAATTGTTTTGGTTTGCCACGGTACTCAAGCTATGTAAGTCGTAATTCATCAGTTGCCTATGTCCTTACGAATGGGATGTACTCTACACTTAAATGCAAAGTACTTCTACAAGATTTGCAGGAGCTCGTGTTTGCACTCACTCCTGGTGGTGAGCTGTTAGAAGTAGTCGAGAAGTTAGTTTGGGTGATTGTGTTAGTGTTGATGATGTGAGTGATCAATTTTAGTGTGTTAAAAACCAGAATGACTTAGGCTAATCTGGGTCATCTTTGCTGCTGTCGTGATGCTAGTATAGCTATAAGAGGTCAGGTTTACGACGTCAATGAAAGCAGTTTTGCTCTATACTTGGAAAGCCTGAGGTCTACAAGCTAAAGATGTCAAGCAACTCTCTGTGTTCGATCATTGTCTCTGAGATGCTGTTGTTTAATGTTGTTCGGGAGCAGTAGTGATAACTCAATTGATGTTGCCATCCTGAAACACCGGGCTCAGTAGACCAGGTATGTTTTACGAATGTTAACCCGATGGCTTCCAAAACGAACCCTGGGACTGGTTGGAAAAAGCGAAGAGGTGGTCATTTTATGATATAGTGCCGGAGTATGAAAGGAAGTTTTGTAGAACTGGCACCCGTCAGTCCATCACGACTCCTTGATGAGATTAATTGGCTTGAGACATTACCTACCAGACATCGATCCAAATAGAAACTACTGGCCATCCTGACATAGTTTTTCTTCACATCATTCATAAAGATGAAACGGACTTAACTGAGAGGTGTCTTATTCAGTTCTATTGTTAAATGAAATGTCTCTTCTATTATATATTATTTTTGATCACTAGTAATTTTTCTCGGCTCTACTGCTTACGCTTCTCTTTTCTTTCCAGTTATATGTTTATGCTGTGTGGTGCATTGTATTTTTGGTGCCAACTTATCCCATATAATTTGTGTATTAAGTAAAATAATGACTTCCGATCGTAACGGGACAATATATATACGTATGTTAGTAGAAAGTGGTCAGTCAGTGCAGATTCGTATTCAACACTTGCAGTAATTAGCCCACAGTGCTTCTCTCTCGAGCAAAAGGTTTTATCACGAATTGAATGAAACCAGCCGGTATCATTTAATAATGTTAATGTGTGCTTACTATCCACCGTGCACAGCTTATTGATTAATAAATATTTATCCACAGGTAACATTCCGAAGGTATTTTCAATATTTTGACTAATTCTCCCCAGTAATTTTATATTGGTGAGCTTTTTTGATCAAATAATATGTTCTTTTATTATAATTTTGAGATTTCAGTTAGAAGTGATGAAAAGGAAGTCGGAACTGGAACAGCTCTTGGTGCATTGGAAAAAATACTTTCCCAGATTTGGGAACTTGCAAAAGAATGTGAACCACCAGTACCAATAATCATTACTCATACAAGGAAGAAATTAGCACATTTATGTCATAAACCAAGACCTGTATCTGTCGTAGGAATTATAAACGCTGATGGAGCATATGAAGTTGAAAAAAAGCTGTTAGACATGAAATCTGGAGTTAATTTAAGATGTATAAGAAGTCTGGAGACTGGTCAAACAAACACAGTGAATGAGCTCACTGCTGGAAACTCAAATGCTGCAATCATCGTAAGTACTTTGGTGATGCATTTGATTTTCTCTGCCCAGATCGTGTGTTGTAATAGGATATTCTCCCAACAAAAATTATAAATATTTTCATAGTCCTAAGAACACACTTGCCTAGATATCCATATACTATAATTCCCTCACTTAAGCCCACCCAAAAGTATACACCACCTAATTTCAAACCTTCCATAGGATACCGCTATGTTATATGGTAAATCTGTTATCAGGATATTCTGGTTGTTTCCCCAAAACTATTTGTAAAACCTAATTAGAGGTTTTGACCGATTTAGGTACCTTACCCTCTAAATAGTATTACCAGTCCTTAGAAGAAACACGATCCCAAGTGTTTTACGCAAGCTTATTTAATGTTACTGTATATATATATATATATATATATATATATATATATATATATATATAGAGAGAGAGAGAGAGAGAGAGAGAGGTAGTTGGTTGTATATACTAAGTTTCAGTCTCCATAATGACCTCTACATGAATTGTTATCGAAATGTGAATAGATTATTTCACGCAAATCACCCATCAAATATGTGTCTTACTATTTTTATGCCATTACCTCGGTATAAATAAATTTTTACTTCGTGATTTTATTTTCCCAGGAAAAGTTGCGGCGTGCTGTTGAATCCATCAATATTGAGTAGCTTTTGTTTGAAGTCAGATGTCCATACCTCCTATCACTACGGATGACTGGTAAATCCCCTTCTTCCATATTGTACATAGTTTACTTTACTTGTGCATACTTCAGTTGACTTTGTGTCTTTGAAATAAATTGTAAACAATTCTTCCACGTTGATTCTTACTATTGTCTAGTAATGCACAACTCTATGGAACTCAATCACTAAAACAGTTTGTAACCGTAATTCTGTGCAGCCTGATAATCCACATTCTGATAGACAGTGAGATTCAATTTCCACGATCCACAAGTTAAAATTCAAATGTCTCATTTAGTGATGTACGATACTGTCGTGTCGGAACGACCGAAATATAAGCCCCAGTTGAGCACATATTGTCAAACTTTATACCAATATACGCATAATGAATGAAACAAGATTTCACTGAACGTCAAATGTATCAGTGAGATTCTAGACGTTACTTTGCTGTTATGTGAAATATTTAAGTACATATACCGTTCCCCTTTATTTGTTCATTTTTAATGTAGATGGTAGGTGAGAAGCTGGGCATTAAATTTAAAATACGCAATGCCAAACATTGCCGAAACAACCTTGATGATACACTCAAGCACTGTATTTTCATAACGTTAAACGTTGGTGTACTGTAGATTTTTGGAAGTTTTTGGGAATGACTGTCAATTACTTACTTACGCCTGTTACTCTCAATGAAGCACAGGCCGCCGACCAGCATTCTCCAACCCACTCTGTCCTGGGCCTTCTTTTCTAGTTCTATCCATTTTTTGGAAGAATCAACAGGACTGGATGAACTACAATCCCAGCCCTACTGATTGTGACATCCAATGTGTCACTTGACCAAGGTGTTGTCCACGAGCTGGAAGGATGCAATCGTCACTCCCATACATAAAACAGGACCAAGACAACTTCCATCAAACTACAGACCTGTAATCCTCATCAGTGTTGTAATTAACATATTGGAAAGAATAATTAAAAAGACCATAATAACATTTATGGAAACCAATAACCTGTTAAACAACGAACTACATGTTTTTAAAAAGGGTTTATCTTGTACGACGAACCTCCTTATAGCATGGAAATTTTGGGTAAAGGCGCTAGACAGCGGAAACTCAATGGATGTTGTTTACACAGACTTCAGTAAGCTTTTGAAAAGGTGTCAACAAATAGACTGTTACGGAAGTTAGAAAATCTTGGTATTGCCGGACCGGCCCAAGTATTTCCTAGTAGGTCGTAGAGAGAAAGTAAGAATAAATTCCAAGTACTCCACCTGAAGACCAGTACTTAGTGGAATACCTCAAGGTTCGATCCTACATCCTTTAGTTTCCATACTGTATGTAAATGATCTCAAGTATAGTACAGTCCCCAATATTACTATATGCTGACGATGTAAAAATCTAGCGAGAAATAACTGAAGACGCAGACGCATGTACTCTTCAGGCAGACTTAAATAATGTGATTAACTGGTCTGAAGAGTGGCTGATGCCTATCAATGCGGCAAAGTGTGTCTACGTGCACTTTGGGGATACAAAGGTAAATAGGTACAGCTTAGAGGAAGTGCGAGTACCCGTGGTCCGGTCTCATAAGGATCTAGAGATGACAGTGAGTCCTGATCATATGGCCACGGCCCATCGCCGGTAGGTTGCAGTTAAGGAGTTTAGAACCCTCTGGGCTTTAAAACGGTTATTAACTAAGTTACATACTACCATGTTCACTACAGTATACACAACCCTTGTGAGAACTAAGCTTGAGAACTGCGTTCATGCCCCTGTTTAAAAGATGACTCGGATATCCTAGAAAATGTACAGAGGGCAGCTACCCATGCCATTCCAGAACTCCGGGGTTTAATATAAAAAGAGCGGCTTAAAAAGCTGGATCTCTTTACTCTGTGGTATCGTAGACTAGGGGGAGACCTAATTTTGATGTACAGAATCCTGAGAAATAATTTTGAACCTAACTTATTCTCTCTTTTTCTTCTCACTAGATCAGGACATAACAGGCCAGTAGAACAGCCATTAACGAACAAAATACCCGTGGCTTACAGGTTTTCACACCGAGTCATCAATACTTGGAACCTGATGCCCGAAGCAGTGGTGTCCGCACTTTCAATTGACTCATTCAAGAGAACACTTGCCATTCACAGAAGCATACTAGAAAAGGAATAACATAAGCCGTAGGCCTTCTGTCCTTACTACACAAATCTAAATCTGAAATACGTGAATGTTATTTGGAGTCCATAGTTAGAAGTTAAATATCCAATCATTTAGGTCCAAACTAATGACAAGGATTTTTGTGGTTGGTTTGAAGCACATTCGAACAACTATTTTCGGATATCAGTTTGTCCTAATCTCACGCTTATGTTATTTCTGATTTTTATTGATTCCTTTTACCATCAAGTGTGTCAATGCTGCAAGTGTTACAAGTGGTGATGGAGTTGGGACTCTGAACCGCCATCTTTCGAAATGAAGCCTCAAGCCAGAGCTTTAGATCGCTCCTCCACTCCACCGTACGCGTTTCACATGTGTATAACATAAGTAAATAGTGTTTACTGGGATACAGGGAAGATCTAAAGTTTAACCACAGACTGTATTCAGTGAATACTCGATAAGAGAGGACATAACATGGCAGCACAACAGATTAAATTACACAGATACTGTGTAAAAGGAAGGCAATGTACGGAATAGCCTCATACATTATCCCACAAGTCCAATATACGTTAGGTTCGCTTATTTTGTCCCAACTCGTTTCCCTCTTCGACTAGCAATAAAAAGAATAGGTCCCCATTATTAGTACCATGCATAATAATTCTAATAGTTTTATCTGAATGACCATATAGGGCTGCTTTTGATCCCAACTAGCTCAGTGGCAGTAAAATAACTGCGTGAAATTTTTTAGGGTCAAAAGTGTTATAAACCAGCGAAATTTACTAAGTCTAGGTTTTACAAGTTGTTTTTCATACCACGAACTGATGTCAGTTATAATTTCAAGATGCTATTTAGTCATATCGTAACACGTGTTATCAACAGTCACAAAAGCGGAGATGATCTGAAACCACAACACGCAATGTTAATCAAGAACTTCACACCAAGAGAGAAAACGGAGTGGAAGCCACGAGTCATAACGTAATAGGCAGAATAGCTAAAGTAACTACTTATATGAAGTTGATGTTCATTTTGTTGTGCTAATGAGGTGTGGCAACTTGTACTGATGCATATGTGCCTGCTCCTACGTTGTAGCCGTTTGACTGACAACAACTGAACCAGACGGAAATCTCATGCGTCATGTGACCACTTAATGCACTATTCAGAAGTTTTTGGCCAGACTATATTGGCTCACATTCAGACGACAGACTCATAATGCTTTTCCCTAAAAATCCCATGCGAATTTTCCCATTTAGACACTTAAATGAAGAACTAAGATCAAACACTACATAAATCCACCCGATTCTAAACAAATATTTTCTTGTGTAGTGTATTAGTACCCATTTGTAAACTGGAAATAGAACTCAGTGATTAGGAACGGAAAGGAAACTACTTACTCACGCCTGTTACTCTCAATGAAGCACAGGCCGCCGACCAGCATTCTCCAACCCACTCTGTCCTGGGCCTTCTTTTCTAGTTCTATCCATTTTTTTGTTCATTCTTCTCATGTCTGTTTCTATTTCTCGGCGTAATGTGTTCTTTGGTCTTCCTCTTCTCCTTTGACCTTCAGGATTCCATGTGGGGGCTTGTCTTGTGACGCAATTGGGTGATTTCCTCAATGTGTGCGTTATCCACTTCCAGCCCTTCTTCCTCCGCCGAATTCTGGTTTGTTTTCTCCCACAGTAGGTTGTTGTTGATAGTGTCTGGCCAACGAATCCGAAGTATCTTGCGTAGACAACTGTTAATAAACACTTGTATCTTCTGAATGATGGCCTTCGTCCCGACCGTTGCTGCTACCTTGACGTGGTGGTCGGGCTTGCCTATCGTGATGATCCAATCGAGCTATGCTGGCTGGAACAATCGTTCCTCAAGGTCCTACCATGCCAGACAGGTCGGTTGAAGAGCGGTGAGACTAAAAGCAGCAATCCCAAGGTCCGAAGGCGAAGTCGTACTGCTGACTGTACAGAGGTGTGAAAGCAGTAAGGTGTTTCCTTCAGACAACCAGCATGACAGCGATGCTGCCTTCCCACAAGGAGGGGTGGGGTTAGAAAAGGTCGACCCTAAAAATGCACACCTCGCCTTATCCCACGGATTTCCGTCTCCGGCGGTAAGGACTTTTGAAGAACGGAGCTAACACATCAAAAATCCCCCACAAAAAGGCCGTGCGTGACCGGCCTCAAGCAGATGTCCCTTGGGCTCTGCGGTCACGCTCCCAGGTCGTTAAGACCAACACTAATCCAACTTCTTTTTCAGGTCCCTCAAGAAATACCCTTCCACGGTGTGGGCAGCCGGGAAGTGATACTAGCCCTCATACCCTTAACTGCACACAAGACCAAGTTGGTCGCTTTCAAATCCTTCCTACACCTAATAACTCTGTTATCTCCACGACTAACCCTTCCCACGTCCTTTTATCACCTCGCACCGCTAGGGCAAACGATTCGAGTAGACGGAACGTTATTCCTGGTCTCCTGAAACCACGCTCTAAACTACATATAGGAACTTTTAATGTCCGAACATTGTGCCAAATAGGACAACAGGCTTCCTTAGCTAGGACTCTAGAATCTTACACCATCGATGTGTGCTGCGTCTCCGAAACGCGCATACAAGATCCGAGTAGTGTCATTCATTTGACCGCACCTAATCAAAATAAAGTTTCATCTCGATACACGCTTCGTGTATCTGGAAGCCCTGATGCTGCTTCCCGTGGCCTCGCTGGAGTAGGTATAGCATTAAGTCGTAGGGCAGAACTAACTCTTTTAGACTGGATCCCAGTAGACAGTCGTCTATGCGCTGTCCGACTAAACGGATCAGTAAGGACCCGGAAAGATAGGGAAACTCGTCGTTGCCTCTTCGTCGTCTCTGCCTACTCTCCCACTGACCGCAGCTCAGACGATATAAAAGATGAGTTCTACAGGAAACTTTCTGACCTTCTCCGAGAAGCTAGGCGTTCTGATGTAGTAATAGTAGCAGGTGACTTTAATGCTCAAGTAGGTAAACTAA